GTAGATTGCATCTGAGTGAAAAATTCACTATTCCAGTCAGATTGTGTTTTCATTCATTAAATGCGGCTGTATTTGTGAAAATATTCCAGTCATGCTTACAGTCGGTGCTCCTTACAGCAGCAACTTGTCATTCCAGTCATGAAAGCTTATATAAATCCATTGGTCGACTGTACATTTCATTCACAACATGACACACATTACTGGAAGTAAAACAACTTTCCAGTCGTGGGAAAAAAGAAGAAAAATGTCGAGCGCATGTGCAAGGAAGAAAAAGCTTCACAGCCGGAAAGTCCCGAAAAAAAAATACTTTTTATTGACTCTGAACATGTACAGTGTTTACTAGCGAGACATTTTTTTTCCGTTGTTGCCTTTCCATTCCATCGAGCAATTTTCATCATCTCAAAAATTACTGTCGATGCTACATGCATACATCATCGCCGAGAGACGAAAAAGAACAGAGTGAGATGGAGCAACAAATTTATGTGTTCATCAAGCCACTGTGCTGTACAACACGGTTATAAAGTGTCTCAATGTAAATCATCTGAAATGTTCACATGTATCTCATCTCTCTCATAATATTCCCACCCTATGCCACCCGTAAAATCATCATTTCTTCGTTAGCACACTGTGAGGTGTACATTCTGATGCTTTCCATCAACGACCTTGAAAATTGGAATTTCTTTTCGTCTCTCACACACAATTTTTCTTGTAAACTGTTTCTTCTATGCCGTGTGCTCGTTGATGTTCATATGGGAATAAATGAGAAGATAAATAAGCATTTACCGCCTTTTCCACAGCTTATATCATTTATCCAGGGTGATGAGAAATGTGAAATTGAAGTTGAGGAAGTCGTGAACGAGATTAAAAAATTTAAAAAAAAAAAGAATAAACACATGAGAATTAATTTTATGTCGTGTGTGTGAGTTTGTGCAGCCAAAAGTTTATGTTTTCAAAAATAAGGTTAGGTAACGAGAGGAAAGATGAAGAAGTAATGGGATTTGAAAAAGTTTCTTTTTCTCACTTTGGAAAAATTTGTTTGATTTTTCTTTTGGGTTTCCGTAATTGACATTTTTATTTGGAATTGTTTGAAAATTTATGGAGAATTTTTTTTCTTTTTAATAAGGGAATTGGAAGTTTCTTTTTTCGGATGTGGAGCTTCTTGATTTGTATGTATGAAGTTGCTTGTTTGCTGTAGAAAATTCATTTTATGTGGATGCTGTGTTTGTTTTTTTAAATTGCTTTTTTTTTTGGTCTGCTTTGACTCTCTAGACGTTGATATATCAATTTTTGAATTTAATGAGTGTAATCTATAGTGATGATGTTCATGATTCTCAATAGTATTGTCCAAGTAAAAATGAATTTAGTAGTTGTAGGGTCATTGCCAATAGAGCGACCATCTAATTTTTATGAAAATACAGGACATTTGATAAATTTCCTAAAAAATACAGGATACAAAGGAAAATTTGAAAATTAACGGAAATTTTCGCGAAAAAAATACAGGACCTGGAACAAAATTTACAAATTTATACAGGACAAGTTTTGAAATACAGGACTGTCCGTTGTAAAACTACGCAGATGGTCACCCTAGTCATTGCCAGATATTTTTGAAGAGAGGGAGTTAAGTTTTCCTGCAAAAACAACAGCAAATCACACGGAAGCTAATTGATAAAATTTTCCACTGAGGTAGGAATTTAGATGCAAAAACCTAGTCTCCTTGACTACATCTTTAAATATTCGTGTCCCTTACAAGTTTTATTATTGTTTAAGGATCCAAACAACATAAAGTATGTAGCAGCGTCATCGCAAATGTGTCTTAAGAAGTTTGGCGACACAATAATTATACTTTAAATCATTAGATAAAATCGACGCTACAAAAACAAAGAAACAGGATTTTAAAAAAAATTAAATCTTGTTCCTAGAAAGTTTAAAAATCCAGATTCTAGTCACCCAACCAATCCAAAGTGTCAACAAACTCCAATTATCTTCAAAAATATCTATCCCAAAAGTAGCACAATGATTCACAAAACAATCTAACAAATTGTTATCACAGGATCAATTTATATCTCTCATATCATCTTGTCACCTGAAAAGTAAAAAAGGGAAAAATTTGATAGTTCGATTTCTGGGTATTGATAGAAATTCTCAATCTTGTGATTTTTATTCACGTCAAGTTAAAATGTGGAAAAAAGAAGATTTACTATAGAATGATGACTTAAGGGATTTTATGTGCATCATCAGGAGCTAGGTTGTGTGTGAAATAATTTGTATGAATTGAGTGATTTTTGGTACATTTTCCTTTCAGGAAAAGACACTGTTGTTCGTTTGTCTGTCCGTCTGTTCAGCAATCTCCTACTCCAGTTTAAGCTTTTTTGATGCGGTTTTTAACTTATAATATGAATGCTGTGCCTGGCTGGCCGGAGTAATTCTTTTGAGTCGTAGCTAGAACTCAAAGTGGGAGGGGGTAGTAGATTTTTTTATGTATTGAATTATTCGTGCTTCCTTTCATCATTTCACGACAGACTACTATTGGCACATCTAGGATTTCTTTTGTCGAACAACAGTGCTTCACAGAGCATGTTTTGAGAACTTCTGGATAAGCGAATGAATTTCTATCCAATTAGCTACTGTAAATCTCCATCGACATTAGAATCTGAATATTCAAATCCTACATAAACTAGTGACGCAAATCAGAAATCAGCAGTAATGTCGTAAATGAAATAATTAATCGTGAAATATGATATAATCTAAATTTACTGATTTATTCACCGCTATGGCACTTTAATCGTAATGCCATGTAAACTTTGTTATGCTTGCTGAAAATATTCATTTCATTTCTGCTTTTTCGCCCACTCAATAGTCAAATAATCTCGAGTGATATCAAAATTTCTTAATTTCAAAGATTGAGGCATCGTCATTTAATTATGAAAGATTTTATTTTAATCTGATTAAAAAATTTCAATCTTCTAATTTCAAAGGCTTAATAAAATATCAACAAAAACGAATTTTCGTCAGTATTTCTTCTTATTTTACCCAAAGTTCATTCGTTACTTCTAAGAATAGAGCAAAAAAAAATTGTTTGACTAGCGAAAAAGAAGCAAATTTTTCAAAGTCCTTAAGTAATTTAACAAACTTATTATATTTTTGTTTACAGATTTTTTTTAATGAACACAGACAAAGTAGAAAATAATTGGATAATCAAATGCGAATGTCGTCATTGAAATCAGTATCCAAGCATCCTTGGTGACTGTGGTGAACTTCAAAGTTTGGAATTTGAGTCTTAATTAAATCGGAGTACATTAGAAGTAGGTTGATGTGGCGTATGTCATCTGCATGTGTCTTTGATTTGAAAAGAATTTTCGGAATGATTTTAATTAAATTTTTAAAAAATATTAGGAAATGAGATTGACACGTGTAGATTGTCAAGGAGCTGATTAGGATGGCATGAGTGTTTGAAATTCAACTAGAGCAGGGTTGTCCAATCTGTGTGCCGTGGCACACTGGTGTGGCAATGGCTTATCCTTAAGCTGTGCCAAGGCTCAAATAGTTTGGACAACACTGAACTAGAGAGTCACACAAAGCTGTGAGTTAAAATCACCTGAATTTTTGCAAAATTTGTGTCGATCAACAAACAAAATTGCCTTACATAACCTATAAAAAAATTCCCACAGCACCATCAAAAAACTCTTAATCAATAAGCCATTCGACATAACTATCACTCGATTTCCCAACAGGCAAAATATACTCAGTAGTTCATAATCATTGTAAATAATCTTCATAGTAAGAAAAACAATAAGTTGAATATGCTCGTATCGCCATAGCTTGCTGTCAAATAATAATTTATACATGATATATTATCGTATTTATGTAACATCAGAGCTTTTATTAGTTTAATATACTTCTCGTGCTTTTCCATGATTATAACAACATTCACAACAAATGTTTTCATTTTCTCATTCTCGTTTCGACATTCTTTTGATGGCGGACAGTTCTGAGTGGATTGGATGGGGTTTTTGATAGGCATTTTGTCTAAGAAGTTAATGTGAGATGATAGTGGTTGGTTGTGCAGTGAACTAGTGCTTTGTTATCAGTTGATTGTGACAACGATAAAGTCGAAGGTTCGAGACTTGTTATGACATTTTTTGATTATTTGGGTTTCCATGTGCATTTAATGAAGGTTATAAGTTAAAGCTGAAAATAATTCAAAATTGGGTTTTTAAAAAGTCTAAGTTGCAGAATTATCTCTTAAAAGGAACTTATAAAAATTATATTAATGTTCTGGATGATCTTTAAGTTCTTGTTTCATAGAATCCAAACTTCAATTTCATTCCAACTTCTGAATATCAAATTAAAAATATCTTGCTGAATTCTAAAATAAACATCTTACCAGGTTATCTTGAATCCACAAAAACTCCTTTATGCTCCTACATATGACAAAGCCAGCTGTGTACTGACCATGAACATCTCACATGTCAGAAACACCATTACATTTCTTATCTTTAATATTCCAAATGTTGAAGCAAATAATAAATTCTGAAAATAATCAAAATGTTTAAATCTCCATAATTTATCAGCCTTTCCGATTCATCAATTCTCTGGAAAATGCCCCACAGATATCAAACAAATGAAGTGTTTTCTTCAACTTTTTGTCTTCTTCTTTATTTCTTTATATATTGAATTTATTATTGTTATATACTTTTATGTGTACATCATATTCTGTCTTTTATTATTATATAATAAAGACTTCTGTTTTTGTAGCTTTATTTCTAGCAACATTAACCAACGAGCGTCAATAAAAGTTTCATTTAATTTACAATCTTAAAATGTTTCCATTTTTGGCGCATTATCTCATAATAATTATGGCACAATAACATTTTTTTTCATCTTTTGGTTTAATACATAAATCATTTGAACAGTAGTAATCATAACAGGATGGATTAAGTAGACGAGGAGACCTCATAGGTCACATAAATTCACGATGACTAACATAAGAAAATTTTAATGGGATTATAAATTATGAGAAGAAATTGTTAAAGCTCAAGTCATTTGTCGTACAATCATTAAGAAACATTGATTCCGTTGACTTTTTATCATTTCTCATCTGACAGCACTCACAGAGTTCCTCGCTATGAATCAAATAACAATTTGTTATATAATGTTCATTCTCATTATATTCAGATGTATATGAGTCTGTATCGGAATCGCAACTTGAATCTGAATCAGTGTCTTCTATCTGCTCCGTCTCCGGATCGTATTCAAAATATCGACTTTGACAGTCCATACAGCGACATGATGAGCTCAGCGAACAATCGATACCTAAAAGCTTTGCTGCCTCACGATACATCTCTTTTGTCGATATTGATTTCTTTGTTGTTAAAAATCGATTGCTGTTGATGTAAAGAAACAATAGATTGAGAACAATATATTATTAAATAAGCATTAGTTTGGCTCACAACTACGCAACATGAAATTGCTATTACTATTGTGCTAGACTCATTCACAGCTTTCATAGTAACATACACGCACAATATAATACATCAAAAATACATTAGAAAGCTCTTTTTTTCTCGTCTTGTCTCTCTGCGAGATAAATAACTTTTGCAATAAAGGATATTAGTTTGGAAGTTATTGTGGCTTGTGGGATTGAGAGCGAATTTAAGAATAAAGCTAGTGATGCATTTTATATTACGTAAAATGATTTTCTTTGGGCTGCTTTCTAGAGCTTATCGGAGTACCTTACCCCAGAATTAAAAATCGGATAAAGCACATTCAGAAGGCAACGATAGAGCTTGTCTGTAGAAATTAGAGTATAATATAGTTTATTAAGCCAAATGTAGACTAAACCGTCAATATAAGATTGAAGATTTGGTTGTAAAATTGGTCAGAAAATTAATTGGAAATCTGAACGAGGGTTCGATTCCTACCGAAAACCGATCTCTTCGATTCTTTACGCGAAATCCTGAATCATCCTAATTTGAGAATGTTTGTTGCTACGCCACTGTTTATGCATTCCTGCAGTTTTTCTGAGTTATTTCTATTTGTGTTATGCATTCGAACAAGTTTTCCAGGTATTTCTTTGAAGTGAACTTAGACAATAGACATATCAAGAAGCCTGACAGGTTTCATACAAAATCAAGGCAACTTCGAATCAATTCGAACTTAAATACAAAAAATCTAATCTCAAAATAGAGATCTCAATCCAGAGGCTAATTTAAAACGAGGCCGATAAAAGAGTTTAAGACAACATGAATAATTCCTCATGCTCCCAATCACTCTTATCGGTCCCAAAGGTGCAATTTTAAAGAACACAAGCACTGAAGAGCAAAAGCCAATACAAAATAGGGGATGAAAATGACTTTGTACAAATATTTTTTTTTTACAAACTTTAAGGAAACAAAAGTCATTACACAGCCATAAAACATATAACTAGCATTTATTTCATTTTTAACACAAAAATGTCTGCACACATTTATATTCCATTTCTCATTCCTTTCATTCATTTTCATTATAGTCATACCATTTCTGTTCCTCTTGTTGTTGCCATTCTGTTGCTTTCTGAACTTTACTTGACTGCTGATTACTTGTTGTGTTAGATGCCGTCTCTGCTGTTGTGAAAATGTTAAACCACTTCAGGCGCTTAATGAATAAGTTTATCTTCAACAATGACTTTCTCGTTCTATCGTTAAATGTTTCTTTATCACTGACATCATTTTGAGGTATATTCGTTTGCATTGTCTTGGTATTGTTACTGTCGTATTTCATATCGGTTGGTGTAAGGAAAAAATTCATCATCTCAGCACTCTGGAAAGGAAAAGAAATATGTGAAAATCATTAGAAAATAGGATGTGAAGGAGAAGAAGAATATTGTGCTGAAATTGAAGCCATCATTCATTCCAAGTTTTTCTTTTTATCCTTATGTATTGTACCCTATCGTTTTAAGCATAAAAAACCTTATTTCTTGTATTCCCATTCCTCGATTTCCCATACTCAATTTTCGATGATGATATTGATTTTCTGTGTTCAGTTTGGTACGGGAGTGATGATTTGTGATACTTTGTGTTGAATTGTTTGGTGATTGTGGAATGTTTAATAGCAACTTTGTAATTTGAGAAGTCGATTTGTAGAGTTGCAGTCGAGTTATATAGGTTAAGTGATGATGGGAAATTTTTTAATGGGTTTTAGCAAGATTTTAACAAGATTGGCTGTCATTTAGTTAATAGTAAATGACTGTGTATGTTTGTGGTACTTCATACAGATGAGAATCATATAAAAATGTGGTGGGGTCTAAAAATATCACTTAATTCTTCTCAAACGACGTCTTTAAAGCTTAAATTTCAGTTACAAATCTCTTTAAGACTGCTATAAGATGTGAATGACCTAACAGAACTAATTAAGATACTTCACGATTTCTTACTCATTGTTGAATTTAAATTGCTAATTTCGAAAGCTAATATATCTCAATTATGCTTCCTCCTGCTAATTCTTTATACAAAAGCTCTCCTATTGTTTCAATTTGGAATACAAAACAAATTTGCTTTCCTTATAATCATTATTTTCTAACAAATGCTCCTGAACAATGTTCCTTAGTTGGCCTCAAGTCATAGTCAAATATTGTCACAACTTCAAATAGATTGCTGACACACGAAGTCTAATTTCAGCATAAAATGCCTCAAGAAAGTTGACAGTATTCGTCTAGTTTTGTATGCTGTATTCCTTATTGTCTACTAGCTTTTATCTTGTTGACTCTCATTTCAACAAAGAAGACACGCTTTAGTTTCAATATTTAAAACGACATGACAGTCATCCAGCAAGAAAACTGTCAAGTCAGAATTTACACAGATTTGCTTCGAATTTTTTTAAACTTGTCCATCAAAAGAATTTTTTTGCTTGTTCTTTTGTGGACGAAAAAAAATCTCGGGTTATCCGCATCGTACATGCCTCACAAAAAGGTGGCAAAAAAGAAAAGGAAATGAAAGAAAAAAGGCAAATAGATGAGGATACGATCGAAAGGCAATGAGGATATATTTTTAAATACATAAAGGGAGGAAAAAAGTCTTGCTCTAGTTTTTAAGGGACTTTTTCTTAAATGACGTCCATCTCATAATGTTTTGTTTAAATGTAAAGGTTTTACATCGTCAGATCTTCGTCCTCAAAAATTTGAACATCATTTATGGTCTGCGCACTTTTCTGTTCGTATGTAGATCACCAAATGTCCTTTCATTGACAAACTTGATCAGGATGAAGGTTCGAATCACATTGAGTAGAAAAAATGCGCTTTCGGTTCACACACACATGGATTTTTTATACTGATTTTTTACTTCCACTTTTAGCTCCCATAAAATGCAAAAAAATATTGTGCGAATTACCATAATCACACTGCATGTTATGGGCGCATGGAGAACGACCTAATAGAAAGAGATTAAAACTTATTAGGCTCCTGCTTGCATTCAAAGACCCACTTTTTTCGCTTCATATGGAGCTTTTGTTTTTACTGCTGTGACATAATGGCACAACTCAAAGGAACATTTTCTCTTTTAAGTTCCTTTGCCGCCTAGAGCGATCAAACTGTGGAAAATGTTTCCTTTTTACTACGGTGACAATTGTTACGTCTATTAAGCTCTTTATTTGTATTCATATCAATGCTTTCATGTTTTACTTTTTCCTTCTGTTTTCGGAGGGGATTACTAAGTAAATAGTGAAAGATTATGCAGAAAAGATTTATGCAGACCTTCGAGATAAAAAGTTTCAGATTGAAGACATTTGATGGATTTTATTGAGGAGATTGTAACGAATTAGAATATGTCAGTATGGTGTGAACAGCATGATGAATTTGAATTAAAAAGTTTATCTCTGCGTACACCGGTATAAAGTTTGATAAATAAAGTTTTTTTGGGATATTGACCGGAAAAAAGATAAAATGAGTTTACTCTTTTAAGACGTGTGTTGGATGTTGTTTTCAAAATTTTAAGGTATTAGCATTATAAAGTTTCTGAAAGCTTATAGCGCGATTCGAACTTCTTCATTGATGACTTGATGACATTTTATTTATATGACTACAATTAAGAAGCCTATATGCTTCATTTCTATAGCATGTGATTTAAAAATGGACAAACTTTCACTTTTGAAATTTGAACCCATGATCGTGGAGCCAATAATGAAATGTTTAAACGTCGTAGCTTAGACGACTCTGGAAATGAGCCTCAAGTACTAGGGTGACCATCTAATTTTTATGAAAATACAGGACATTTGATAAATTTCCTAAAAAATACAGGACACAAAGGAAAATTTGAAAATTAACGGAAATTTTCGTGAAAAAAATACAGGACCTTGAACAAAATTTTCAAATTTATACAGGACAGGGTTTTGAAATACAGGACTGTCCGTTGTAAAACTACGCAGATGGTCACCCTATCAAGTACCCAATGACTCTCAGGCTAATAGATGTGTCGTATATTAACTTATTCTTACTATTGCCACAACTTTAAACCAAGTACAACTGTTAATCACATAGAGAGACACATTCAGATATTTCTTGAGACTCTCCATCCTGGTTGAGTCCTTCCTCATACCAATGATCACCATCTGCAACTAAATTTCGTTATAAATTCCTTTAAATTCTCCATACCTGTTCCCAAAAATTCATGAAATTTCTTAAGAATCTTTAAAGCAAAAATCCCATTCAATTTCCTTTAAAAAATAAATTTTAAGGTAACAACCGTAATTCACAAAATTACATTTCCAACATGTCTCATTTTTCCGATACCTAAATCAAATCATTTTAATAGGAAAAAGGAGTTACATGAAAAGAATGGAGGCTTCAAAAGGATTAAAAAAGGATGCAAAGGTCTACAAAACATACTCACACCAATGCCTGTATTTAATACATAAACTGCGGTGTTTCGTTGGGGCATAACACTTGCCATAATCTAGGGTGGATTCACAGTACACAAAAAATATCGTCTACAGGAAAAATAAATGAAATGACAAGCAGAACGGATGGAAATAAGAAAAAAAAATATTGTCAATTGATGATGAAAATTAAATTTTATGGAACTGAAAGAATTTTAATTTAAATTTTTATTTCTTGTGATTAAGACAGTCGCTTTTTAATGCTGTAATGTATTAATTCACAACGTAACAAGGTGTGCGGTCATAAAATTTATCAAACCTTTTTTCACTTCTTCTTTTTGTCGCAGTCATTGCTCTGGGAGGGTAACAAAAACAACTTTCTACAATTTCTTAAGTCTTGTAAGGCTTCTACACCAATTATTAAATACGAAAATAATTATTTATGAGAAATTTCATGCTAATCCTATGATTTATTGCTGCGCCGTTGAGCATTAGACGTCTCAAAATTTTTGTATAACGAGATTATTGGATTATTGATGCTGATAAAAGAAATTCAGAGAGTCTTGAAACTTTTTATTGCGAAAAAAAAAATTATCCGTGTTTGTTTCTATAGAATAAGAAACTTGACATAGGAACAAGACTTCTTTTTCGGCATTGTTGATGTAACAATGTGAAATTGTTTTGCGATTTGTGCTTTCAAGGATGTGTATCTTGAGTGTGAATCATAATCCTAACAACGAATTCGAATGAATTTTTTGAGGGCTGTACTCAGTTTAAGGATCCTTGAATTTGTTTATTGAATTTCTTGGTTTAATTGGATTATCCAGAATTGGAATTGACTGGGAATAAAGTCTATAAAATCTAACAATCTCTGCACATCCATTGCCCCTCAAAAAATCAAGAAACCAGCACTTGGCAACAAAATTCAACATTGCAGACAGTCACAGATCTGCATAATTTCCCACAATTAAACACAACAATGTCTCAACATCTGATAATAATTTGTATCTAGGAAAAACATTCTAATGGTGACAGCTGTTTACAATCTATAATCAGATGAGAAAATGGAAATTACTAGATTGAAGTGGAAGTAACCTTGAATAAAACAATTACGATAGTTAAGGACAGGAAGCATGACGTCAGCAAATTTATTGAGGCCAATTAAGGATTCCTTTATCTTAGTTATCAATTATCTTAATGGTTTTCCAATTATCATCAAAAAAAGCTTCGATAACCATCATAATATTTTGATAATGACTTCCCATAAAGTTCCCTTTAACTCATGAATAGTCAACAAGATCCTTTGATAGTTTAAGAATAGCTTTTTGATGTTCCTGCATCTATTAATCACTTGAGAAAAAGCTTGTTTAGTGAAAAAGCCTAGATGATCTTGAAAACCCTTTTCACTTTTCATCTTGTATCTATTTCTATGTTTATAAAGGATTAAGAAGAGACATTGAAGAGCATCCCATTCAATGCTACAAGTATGAAAGCTATAAAACGAGGTAGAGGGGTTAATAAGACATCACACTCATGGAAATGGCAAGAAGTGGAACAAAAATTTTTTATGGATTGGAAAATGTAGAGAGGAAATATGATGATGACTATCGTTAGCATTCAAAAGAAAACTTACTTCCCCCGCTTCCTTTGTAAACATTTTTTCTTATTTAATGCTGTGAAAGCAACAGCAATTATTGAAAGACGCAACTTATAAAAGCATGAGGGCGTGAAAAAGAAAACTTTCTTTATCTTCATCTCACTCCTTTTCCTCATTCCCATTAAGTTACGTAAATGGATGTCCTTCGTTAACTATTCAAACGTTCTGTTTGTTTATTGCTTACTGTTTCTGATATCTTTTCACTTTTGTTTGTTTATGAATAATAAATTGAGGTTAACAGTAATAATAATTATGACTGTAAATGCAAAAATTGGTCAATTAAAAATTTATGACACAACCATGTCCATGCGGGGTTTCTTTGTAATTATAAAGTCGTAAATTGTGTAAGAAATTTTTTTTTCTGGATCTGCATGTATTGTTGAACATTTATTGCTTTATTGTTTTTATAATGTCGGTTTTGGGTTTTGTAGGGAAGCATTTGTGTCGTGGGAGTTGGATTTACTTTATAGCTATGTTTTAAGGCTATTATGGTTTGGCTGTAGTAGAGTTTTAAGTCCTATGAATATAATGAGGACCAAGAAGATCCCCTCAGAGTCTCATACTCAGGATTGTGGTCCAGTTGAAAATCAAAGCACCATAATCCATGCACATCCGCTCACAGCTACTTATCCAATCCATAATATCATTTAATCGATAAATCTGCAATCAACTCAATTTTTAATGCAAAATGTCGAATGCATTTTTAAAAGCCACATCCACCCACACCCTGAACATTATTTTCTGCAGCATTGCAAACGTACCAAATTTTATTTTCTACGTGGAAAATTGCGCCAATTGCTGACATCCTCATAAAAATGCAACCCCAATCAAGAAAATATTTGAGTTTTAACCTCAAAAAAATTTCAACAATTTTCAGCACGTACACTAATTCCCAATACTCAAAATAGCATAAAAATAAATGACGCTGAAGATTACGCGAGATTTTAAAACCTCTACAGAAAATGGAATGCTGTTATTGCTGTTATGATGCTGAGCTATAAAATTCTACACAGAACTTTAGTTGACGTTCGTTTAGAGCAACAGTATTTAGCTATTTTATTACAGCAGCAGTAGGACAATATTTTAGTTGGTATTAATTTAAAACGATACATGACTGCTGTTTTAGTAGCTGGATGTTGTCAGGTTTTAAGTTGGCAGTATAAGTTTGTTGATTTTGAATAGAAGTGCTTAAATTCTAGGACAGGGCTTAGGTACCAAGATTTTGGACTCAACCTCCCTCTACTTTGCATGAAAATTAAAGACAATTGTTTGAATTATGACTAAGACTATTTTTTCAAGTCACTGTCAAGGCACTGTCTATTAAGTCACACCACAAAAGAGTCTAAATCGAGCAAGACACCCACAAGTTTTGCATAAAATTTTCATCTCATAACGCTCATAATCGTAAATTTCCAACATTTATGAAGCATAAAAAATACTAAATTTAGATCACTTCCAACACTATTTCCAGCATCCGCTTAAATCTTGAAAATTCTGAATATTTATAAGGCAGAGCAGCAGAATAGCTAATAAATCCTTTTTCGAGAACATATGCCACCGATTGTTGTACAACTTTTAGTCTTTTTCCAACTTTAAGAATCTTTTTTATTTCGCCTTCCCGCCTGCATGTATGGAAATTCGCATCACGTTGCCGAAATTTTCTTGTGCTTATTTTTTTTTGTGTGTTCATAAAAATTCCCAATGGAATTACGAAAGAGAATGAAAAAGAATCAAATTATGTAGATTTTTATTTTAGAGCTTTAAGGTATCGTAAAATTTGGTATTTGTAGACGATAGTTGTAACTATTTAGGATATAAATCACATTCGCTACGTGTCACTATTTGCTATGTATTTCCTTTCCCAAATAATTACAAATTAAAGTTTTTTAAAAAAAAATTGTTTTACGGTGAAACTTTTATTTGTTTGAAGCTTGTGGCTTGCGTTGTGAGGAAAGGCGTGCGGTTACGCTAAAAATAGCATAAACATTGTTGTTGAACAGTTAAATTGAATTAAAATGTCCGGACGGTATTTATTCATGCGGAAAAAATGCGAGCAGACTGCAATTCCAAATGTAACCGATGGAATGAATTCTACGAAAATATTAGCATTAATTGATTGGATGTTGTGATATTTTGGGTGTTATTAAGTTGGTCCTAAATGATGTCTTTCAAAAAATTGAACTTTTAAGGCTCCCTCCAGGGACAAATTCGAGGGAATGGCTGGTTCAGTGTAACTTATTTTACATTCCTCTATCTATGGGTCATAAAAATTATCTTGAGTGTCACACGCCTTTACATACCCCCAAACTTCAACATCATTTACAAAGAACTCCTAAAATGCTTAATAACATTCAAGAATGTCCTACAAATTGCTCTTGACTCTCTCTCATTCTCATCAATTTACTCAATACAGCTTATTAAGTAGGAAAACAATTTCACTACGAGGTCGTCTGTACTTATTAAAATTTTCATATACTCGAGGCAATTTATTTTCAATTTTCAGAATCTCCGCATTTAAATGTGAAGCTTCTTAAAGCTCCAACTTATTTGATTTCTTTTTACAAAAATTGTTGAAAAAATAATAATAATTTTTATCATCTGAAACCTTATCACTTAATTTAATCTAATTCAATTTCTTTTCACGAACTGTGAGTCTTCTTACTTCATACTTGTATGGATGCACGTTTAGCATATGGATTGAAAGCTTTATTGTATTCAGATCGTCTAAAAATACTTTGATGAAATAAGAGGTTTAGTGTCTCGCTTGTGCGAGAATGTTAAAGGAAATGCTTTAGTGAAATAAATTGTAGCTTTTGATACTGTAATGCGAGGTTTCTATGTTGGCAACGGTATATTAGGTCTTATAATGCTCAATTGGTATTTGTGAGATTTTTTGTCTATTTAATTGGAGAAAATTTGATGTAAGAGCTTTTTGACATTGAATTTTCAGGCTAGCATCTTTGTTCCTGACCAGGAGTCAAGGCGTGAAAACTATTCCAAATATCCCATTTATCCAATATATCCCAAAAATATTCAAAATAATCCCTGAGCCTGTATGCATTAGAATTGAGATATCCCATCATATCCTGAAATCACACGTCCAATACACTAAGGATACGTTGGAATATCTCTATTATCGTGCATACATGCTCAGGAATTTTTTGAATAAATATGATATTTGGGATAGTTTTCACGCCAGGAATAAATTATTAAACTTTGGTCTAGAAAGGCAGCACCAGCACAGAAGTAAGAAAGATAACTCTCTTTTAGTGTTTGATCCCAAAGAATTTTAAGTCTGCTTTTCTCACGAATTGACTGTCATAGGCGAGTAACGCGATTGGTTTGTGACTAGAAGGGGATATAAGGATTCCCAATACTTTTCATAACCATGATATTGTCTAACTCAGATGAATCATAACTATTCCAATTACAACACAATCATTTTACGAACATC